GGCTTCCTGGATGGAAAGGGAGGGGGAAGAGAGTCCTGCCTTGAAAGAGAGGAGAGAGACCCAGGAGGGAGGCCGGAGCCCAGCCCTGAGAGCCGCTCTGGGGGCCGGCCGCACCGCCTGGCCCTGGGAGGAAGTCACGGCTGCGTGTGACCAAAGCAAGACGGCACTCGCTCTTCTGTCCCCCATTGGACTTCCCTGAAGCCCCCGCTTGGGATCGAGCCACCGGAGAGGGCCACCTGGCAACGGGGGCAAGAAGGGAGAGCTTCCCTCCGCGAAATTTCAGAGAAACTTTGATTTGTGTATTGTTTACATAACAGTTCTGAAGGGTACATGACGTGGAAAGCCTTCGGATGGAACTTCTCTTCATGCTGTGGTTTTTGTGAAGGGTCTGTTGTATGGATTCATTCCCCTCTATGTTTATACCAGCAGCAGGGTTGTCTTTTCCGATGGCTCTGCTCCCGGGAGGCCGGAGTGGTCCGCTGTCTCGGTGGGCGGGGAGCGTGCAGGTGGGTTTGAAGGCTGAGGTGTGCTGACCTGGGCCCCGCGCTCGCTTAGGGGTGCGGGGGTGGGGGGGCCTCAAGGAGGGGTTTGCGGGCCACCCAGGGGTTTTGAAAGGCCCTGAGGCCCTTTCTCTGCTGGACTTGCTCTCACCCGAGACCGCTCCCCACCCGACCACAGGCTCTCAGCCCGTCACTGGCTGCACACACAGGTGGGACGAGTGCCCCTGGAGAGAAAAGGCAAGGATGGACATTGGTTTCCTTGCAAGAGGCCTTACTACCCCGATAATGAGCTCAAAACGCCGCTGCCTGACGTGGGTCCTCCCGGGACCCTGCGCCTGGGGCCGCCCCCTCTGAGCTGGTTCTCTGCTGAGAGGGAGGAGGAGGCCCCGGCCAGCAGCTGTCGGAACGGTCAGTCCGCAAGTGGCAGAGGGAGCGGAGGCAGGTGTACGGCCGGCCGCCCACCGTCCCGGGAGGGCAGCGGGAGGCGTGGGAAAGGGAACTGTGTGATGGAACCGGCGCTGCGTCCGCAGGGTGTTCATGAGGGATTTGCTGTGTGTGGGCTGATTTCCCCTCCACACAGAAGGGAGAGAAAGCCACTCTTTACCTGGCGAGAGATTAACAGACACGCTGCCACGGAGTAATAGCTCTGTGTCTTAAGGGCAAGAAAGACTCCGTTTGGGAATCCGACGCGATGGAGGGTGTCAGAGGGAATGGGAGAGGACTGTGCTGTGCGCTGGAAAACGGGCTGTGTAAGTGATGGAGTGAACGCTCAGCCGGAGGCGAGACCGGGGAGAGGGTATGAGGTCTGTTTAGTAAATGGGTGAATCTGGTGCCTTTTTTTCTTTTTTCTTTTTTTTAAGTGAAGTCGGTCAAAATTGAAAAGATCAGACCATGGAAATTGCTGCACTTGCTCATGGTTATTGAAAAGAAAACAGTTAATGAAATAAACACCGATGTCAAAGGCCTTAATGAAATCCAAACAACTTCCTTTCACCTTCAAGATTAAAAATGTACACCCCACTCGGCCTTGAGTGGCTTTGGAGGTTGTGATGAGGTTTTTCCAGTCCCTTTAAGGTCTAAAAGGGTGAGGGCATCTTAACTGTAGAAAGCCTTTCGCAAGCCAGCGAAGGCTGGAACCTACAAAATCATGTGGAGAGAGAGAGAGAGAGAGAGAGAGAGAGAGCGCTCTTTGGGTGGCACATTCTAAAGACGCAAATCCATGTGCAGAAAGAGGCGGCATTTTTTAGTTGATTTTTTTTTTAACCAAGTGCCATTAACATTCATCCTCCACATCCCTTTTCTAAATAAGCCTAGTGTTATTTGAGGAATGTGTTGGGATGGACGATCACATGTAAGGCAGGAAAAATAGGCTAAAAATGTTGAAGGCCAAAGGTAGGACTAGAGGGTTTGCGGAAGTGGTTTTTGGATGCTAAGGATGTTAAAGAGGAGAGAGGCGACGGCACCACGCATCTCGTGGAGAAATAAGAAAGCATTCAAATCTGTGCAGAACACATGCATAGAGACAGCGTTGGTTCAGAAACCAGATTGTGAATACAATCACACTAGCATGACTCCTTTAAAAGGAAGACCTTAAACGTATTTGCAAATCTGAATTTCTATTTATTCCTTCACTGAATATAGAAACAATGGTTATCTGATTATTAGAGATATTATTTTGGATATGTTACTTATTAACTTGCTATGGCTGGTAACCATGATAAAGTCTGTTATTAATAACAACATATTCTTTTTTTAAAAAAAAAAAGAAAAGAAAAGCTTATTTTTATTGACTGTGTATAGATTTATCTACTTAGTTGTGTTTTGCTCTTAGTGTTTCAATTTTTTTTTTTTAAGTTGAGTGTTCTGATCAGTTTTAGGAGCCTAGCCCCACTTCATTTCGAGTCCTGTGTTGACTGCAGGTATACAGTTCAATTTAAAAATCCTAAAGCAAAAGAATTTTATTTATAAAAGAGTCAAACAGTTGCATGCGTAAGGCTGTGATGTCGGATGTTTAGTACTAACGCGGCAGTGCCTTTTTTTGTATCTACCCATTGACCCACAGATGCGACTGTTTTATATTAATAGTAAACATTAAAGATCTCCGAGTAAAATCTATTTCCCATGTTTCCCCCCCCACTTGTTCTGATTTAAGCAGTATGTGTGTGTGTGTGTGTGTGTGTGTGGTGTGTGTGGCATCTCTACACTGTCCCAGGGACAGTGACGTTCTACAATATTGTTATCATGTATGATGTTTTACTGGTGCTTTTTATTCATAGTGGTTTCTTAACAGAAACGATAGGAAGACACACATGAACTGTGTACAAGAAATGAAACATTGCTGCTGATACGTCGTTTCCACATGCTTTTTGAGTTTCACTTTCTAACCGAGGGCCAGCAAGCAAACTAGACCTTGCTGGGTCTGCCTGCAGAAGGCAGCTGTTCGCACCGAGCTCTCCAGTCCTGGGGATCGATGGTCCCTTTTGGGTACTCAGGAGGGAGCGACAGCGGGGCCCCTGCCTCCCACTCGTTTGAAGAGACACTGAGGGAAACGCGGTTTTCTTTTGAGGTGTCATTGGTTGCCTTTTACGGGATGGGAGGCTTCTCCGGGTCTTCTGTCCTTCTGCACCTCTTGTAGCTAGTGCCAGGGCAAGGTGTGCAGGCCTGCACGCCCAGCTAGCGTGAGGGTCTCACCCAGAGCCCGGGCTGCGCCGGGCTGGGTGCACAGGCCTGCGACCAGAAGGGCAGTGAGGGGAGGACAGCCGGCCCCGGTCTCGCTGGCCCTCTTGGAGATGCCCGCGGCAGGCCCTCCAGCTTGGGTGCCAAGGAGCAGCCTGGCCCGGGCGCTCGGCGTGCCTGTTACACGGAGGACCTGCAGAGGATAATTTGCACATGGGGCTGTGATAACACTAGTGTTGATTTTTTTTTTTTTTACAAGTCATCTGAGATGTTTGCAAAGTGAGTTTTATTATTTTTTTTTTGTAATTCCTTTATCCTTACTTAAAGGTGAATGTGTATTCCTCTGGGAGGAATAGGAAGAAAACAGGAATGTTAATAGTGTCCAACAGAAGACTTCCTCCCTTATTAATATATAACCCTCATGTATTTATGCCTAATGTAAGCTGACTTTTAAAAAGCTTTCTTCTGTTGCATGCCCCATGCAGGCATCTCTATTGTACATGCATGCCTTTCGTCCTGTTTTCCTGTATAAAGTTAGTGAACAAAGAACTATTTTTGCCTAGTTCATGTTGCCAAGCAATGCATATTTTTAAAATTTGTCATATATGGAAATAGCATGTTTGTTACATGTAAAAGCTTTACTGATACACAGATATACTAATGTTTGGAGATGCTGTTCTTTGCAAGTGTACAGTTTTCAAATGTTGTTACCAGTGAAACACCCTTGTGGTTTAAACTTGCTACAATGTATTTATTACTCATTTCCTCCCATGTAACTAAGAATCATGGCTATATTTCATATCAACGTTATATTGAAAGTGAAGGGAAATGATTAATACAAGGTTTTGTAACACTGGTGTGTGTGAGTGTCGTTTTTTTCCTTTTTGTCAATATGATCAATTAGAAAACAAGAACTGATTCTTAGAAATAAGCCAGCAAGGAAGAATGAGCATGACATCCCTGTAAACTATTCCCACCTGACCATTCTACGCAAACAGTGTCTTCATCTATGAACTGCTTTTTTAAAGCAGTTTTATGCAGTTTGATCTGCGCCCAAAGTAGCCAATAAATGCATCGCCTGACTAAGGGGCATGTGTCTAAATAGAAACTCTGATCTGCGCCCAAAGTAGCCAATAAATGCATCGCCTGACTAAGGGGCTTTATCTAAATAGAAACTCTAACCCTGTAGATCAGCGGTCGCCAACTGGCGGTCCGTGGACCGCTGGTGGTCCATGAGGTCCGAAAGGTTGGCGACCGCTGCTGTAGATGGTATTGTTTATAACTTGCTCTCCACCCTGAGTGCCTTTGAAATCATATTTTACTCTTTACTGCTTAAAGAAACAGCAGCCTCCTGGGAGCCTTGGGGTTTGAACTACAGCACACATAGTGTAAATCTCATTTTAATACTTCTAATCCCACTTTGATATATAAAATATATTAATATAAATTCTAAATAATGTTGGCTAAGCATATGGCTAAAGAGACTAACCTGGGTTTGAAATTTGGCTCCAGCATTCTCTGGCTGTGTGATGGTAGGCTAGGTACTTAACCTCTCTGAGCCGTGAGTTTGGTTTTTGGCCTATTTTTACTCAAGGTTTATATAAGTAAATCTCTAATCCTAATAATAATAATAATAATGTTAAAGACAAAAGAAAACAGGCTATAGAGGTTATTGCCACCAAAACCTAGTAGCCC